ATATATATATATATATATATATATATATATATATATATTTGTGTAAAATTAACTAAGATGTTATGATTTGAGGAGCGTTGATGAACTATCAAAACAGTTGTTATGCGCATATAGCTTTGTTACCCTAAAAGTTTATATGTTGTACGAGATAATTTTTGAAGGTGGTCAAGCTTGTCGCTAAAGGTGGCCAGTGTTGTATAACAGTTATTAACACAGATCATTTTTGCAAAATGTTTTATTGTAGGTGTGTGTGAACATAAACTGTGTGGAGAGCATGGCAGATGTCAAGCAGTTGGAAACAATGGATATTTTTGCAGGTAAGGAGTTTTGTCATTTTGTTTCTTTAGCATGAACGGCGAGAGATCGTTTAATCACTAAGAACGCGTAATTACAAATCCAAATTGGACATGAAAAACACTAATAAAGACATTTTTCTAGTTTTTCCATTGGGAAATACCCTTATGAAATAGTCTGAAGTGGTAACTGAAGTCAAATTCTGTAAGGGGACTGATTGTTACTAAAGGGATAAAAAGTTTCTGTTGGTAAAAAGTAGTAACACTATAAAACAGATATATTACTGACTTTTTCATCGATTACACTGGCACTGGGTGCATTTTACAGGAACTCTTTTTAAGTCCCTATGAGTAAAGGTTCCCAATCTTTTTGTGCCAGGGAAGCCTTTAAGAGGGGAATTTTTTTACGGAACCTAATATTGTAGGTTATTTTAAATTTATTAAAATTATTATTAATTAATAACTTTAGTATTTCGATTAATGTTATTTTCACTTATCTTGGATCTAAGTGATTGGTAAGCCTTAATTTTAAAACTTATTGAAGTAAATATTAATTGCAAAAGTAGTATCTTGAGTCCTTGCTAATTATGCTTCATTGACTATTTTGGACCAATGAGTTCGGCCAACCTTATTTTTTTCCAAATTAAATAAAAATGAAAATAATGATCTTGAATCTATGTGCTTCGCGAATTAAATTTTCTTCGGGTTTGCTAAAGACATGCAAAAATTGAATATAAGAACGTTACTAACTATCTGCATGAAACGCAAGAAAATTTGAATTAAACATGGAGTAATTAAGCATAAAACTCATTTTAAATATTAGAAATTGAACTTTTAAAGATTAAAGAAGATGCTCGAAAACAATACATATTTATAGCTAAAGTTAGACATTGAATTGTTTTAATTTTCCTAAAATTGCTTCCAAATCTGGCTTTGTGTTTGAAAGTTTTACTCGAATATTAAGAACAGAGTGCATCTTTCAAATTTTTTTCTCTATCTGCATGCATAGGAAAGAATTCTTGCTTCAGAAAAATAGTTCAGATCGAAAGTTAGCGAAATGTTATAACTTTTCTTGTTACTTTCGTATATTTGCCTTTTATTTCTACCCAAAAATCTCCCAATGTAATGTTTTCAAATTTCGTTGCAAAAATTGTAATTTGATTTGATTATAATTACATGCTTATAATCGAACGACGGCATTTGGACTTTTATATTGAGGTTGTAAGGGTTTGGCACGCGTTTCATGTCTGCATTTTCCTCTATAGAATTCCAATGGAGTTCTTTTTTCCAAATGGAGCAATTATTGATCATTATTGTTCGGAACATCATTTTTTTATTGTTCTCCAATTGTGATTTGAAGAGGAGGAAAACATTCAAAATTTAGTTCTTTGAACTTACAATCGAAAAGTGTAATTTGCACTTGAAACTGAAATTTTGTCATTGTTCGAAAATATATTAATATGTTATCTCTTTTATAACATTGTTTCACCACACACACATCACTCAACCATGAGCAAACATCAAGTCCCCTTTTTTGGGCTCTATCTTTTAAGCGGCTATTGGTATTACTCTCTTCAAACGTCTACACCGCAACCATCGAGTTGATTTTCAGTCACTACAAATTTAACGTGCACCTTGATGCTTACACAAGCTGGTTGTTTTTTTATTATTGACTGCCAGGTTCAATCTCACAACCCTCGATTATCCAACCAGCTGTGTGAGTGACGCTTCAACCGATTGTGCCATCGAAGTGCACATTGTTGCAAAATAATATAATTTGAAAGTAAGCAGGCCAAAAAGGAGCATTGCATTAGCTTCGTATCATTTGGTGAAAAAAAAATTTGTGATCAAAATGAAGCTTAATTCTAGTGCTAAAAATATAAACGCAATGTAAAGAAGAAGAAAAATATAAATAAAGAGATTATGAGATGCATTTAATGTAAATTGTCAAACTTAAATATGTCAAACATTTTATATGCTTAAGTAATGCCAAAACCTTAGCAAATAAGATAATTTTATATTCGCTTAAGAACTAATACTCTGAAATTCAACAGTTTAGTTATCGTTTGCGGACCATTTTAATTTAAAAGGTCTAATTAACACCAAAATATATATTTTTTATAAGTAATAAAAATGTTTTAATTTTCATTGTAAATAAAACTGATAAGTTATTTCTAAACAAAATGTGTTGGTGAAAATATTTCAATTCTTACATATTATAAATGAAATAAAATAATAACACATGACAGAAAATCACTAAAATGGGAAATTTGGCCATATATTTTAAGTACAAATTTCATGAAGATAATTCTTATCTAAGGAGTGATTAAAGGGGCGTCTAAAATTATTAAAAATTGGTGAATAATAAAAAAGCAATAATCAATTAAAGGAAATTAAACTATCTTAATTATTTTAGTATATTGTAAAAAGTAAATGATTTAAATATAATTCATTTGTGATCGTACATTAGGATTATTACATTGTTATAAGAAATTTCGATCTTTAAAAATAATTCACATCTAAATATCAATCATATGTCACTTAAGCAACAAATTTCTTTTGGGAAATAATAAAAATAATTTAGAATTTTTAACATATTTTAAAATTTTATTAGTAGTAAGTAAAACTACCAGGGAATCATTTAGTGATATAACTTAGTGGATATTGGTCAAGAATCTCCACATTATTTAACCAAAGCTTCCAACAATTTTTTGAAAAAAATATTGGACAGAAGAGTCAGATCTTTTCATTTACTTATTAAAGGATGATTACCAAATGCTAAAAGGTTTTATAAAGCCATGAAGACGCCCGACCGAAAATTCGGAGCAAGTTTTTAGTGTAAAAGTTCAGAAGAGTGGTGATGCCCTTTCTTCACGCACTTCAACCGTACATCCTGATGGAAAGAAATGTTCAGTTTCTCCCACCTTTATTCTATTGGCATGTTTGTTTTTCTTTCTTATTCCATTCTAACGAAAATGCAAAAAAAAAAAAAAAAAACTTAGAATTTCTTAAAGTCGAGTTTAAAATTTTCAAATAATAATTTCGTGGAACCCAGAATGGGAATCCCTGCCTTACAGAGTTTTGTTGAACATTGAATCAATTATGCAGATAAGGAATTAATTTAAGTAAAGAAACCAATAAAACAATAAATTTTTTTAAACCATATTTTTTTTAAAGAAAACTTAAAATAAATTCTGATTGAAACATTTTGGACAAGTTAAGTATTGACTCAAGAAATAAAAGTAAAAAAATATTACTTTAAAGGGCAATAGAAGGTAATAAATATAATAAATATAAAAATAAATTGAATGGTAAATTTTGCTCAACTTTAAAAATATATCCTTTTCCTTTTTTGTTTGACATTAGAAATACAATAATAATTTTTCATAAAGGCATTATTTTATGCAAATTCATTTTTATTACAGCTGCACAGATCATTATCTTGGCCAATTCTGTAATGTTACAAATCCTGCACTGAAAGGTATTTATGTATAAATTTTTTTTCATACTTCTTACCAGATGTTTTATTAAAACTGTGGTATATTAAAGTGCAGTTGAAAAATACAGGGTGTTTATAAAGTCCCGGAACCATTTTGATGTTTAATAACTCATAAAATAATAAAGATAGATTAAAATTATAACATAAATGGTTAGATAGACTCAAAAAGTTTCATGACCCTTGTCCTTGCTTGGCCACCCAGATCACCTGATATAACGCCGCTGGACTTTTTTCTTTGGGGATTTATGAAGGACAATGTCTACAGGAGGATCGTGTCGAGCATTGATGAACTGTAAGCCAGAATTACAACCGCAATAGCCTCTGTGGATGAGGACATGCTTGCCGCTTCCTGCCGTGAAATCGACTATCGACTTGATATTCTCCGTGCGACGAAGGGGGCACACGTGGAAGTTCATTGACTAGGATCATAAAACTTTATGAGTCTATCTAACCGTTTATGTTATAAATTTTTATTTTATGAGTTATTAATCATCAAAATGGGTCCGGGACTTTATAAATATCCCCTGTATATAACTATTTATGTGTGATAGATTGTATTTAATCAAAATTGAGGTATATATATATATATATATATATATATATGTAGGAGGAATAATTTTAAAATCTATCTTTCATCTCCTCATGTTCTGTGATTTTTGCCATTTAAATCTTTTTCATCATTAATACCACAATGAATATCTGATTTTGACGGGCATTCTGTTTTTTCAAGATTTTCATCTACATTGTCGAATGTGTTAAAATCAATATCTAAAGAAAAATAATTCTGGAATTTCTCCTATAATTACAACTGTTTATTTTTGTTAAAACCAAGTTAGATGAATCCAGAATTAAGGAATCAATTTTCAATTGTACTTCTCTTACCTCTTCCCAAGATCTTTAAATAATCACAATGGCTTCCATAAGATTCATATATTTCCCTCTCTGCGTTAATGTTTCTGATTAGTCGCTGGACACATTTATTTTTTCGATAAATTTGCCTCAGGTTTTTTGTAACACTATAAGCTGAAAATTAAACAAAAAGACATTATTGATAGATTAAAAATGGTAGTTTTGGATGAACTGCAAAATTGTTAACGAATAATAGAGCATTTTTTCCTTCACTTTGAGATTTGTCATCAAGTTTTTAATTACCATTCTTCAAAATTTGTACTCGTCAGCTGTGTCTCTTTGTTGATTTTTGTACTTTAAAGGATTAAATGGTAGAAAAACAACTTGTCCTAGCCTATTTTTCAATGACTAGTAACTGTTACTTCTCCGTGTTGGTCACGTCGCTTTCAACCATAATAATAATTCTTTCCTTACTTCTTTTTTTCCCATGTCACCTTTTCCGTCTGAAAGTTAGTCTTTTCATGTAAACGTATGAAGTAAAAACCAATTTTATCCGTGTTAAAGATGTCATCAGGACTGTAGCCTGTAAGTAAAAAAGGCAACACATAGCGAATATAATCATCACTGTCAGCTTCAGCTACACTAGCACTTTTACCGAATATCACTTTTTGCCAAGCTATCCGGTACTTGCTTGAAAAGATTCAATTCTCATTTTTGTTTTGAATATCTTTCATCTTATTCTCGTGTGAGGATACCTTGAGGAGCAATATTTTTTTCTAGTATTTGTTTCAACCATAAAAACACGGCATTCTCCATCTTGCGAAAACTTGATTGTTTCAAACGTTTTCTATCAGGAGCAAAAAAATCATCTTATGAAATACTGGGGAGAAAATGGTGATAATCTATTTTTTTTTCTTAATGGAGACATTCTCGGAACAAACAGCTATTGCCACAGGGTATCAACACTATACATCAAAACAAACGATTGCAGTGTTTTTTTCGCTTTAATAAAACACTTTCCTAGAAAGTTTCGCGGAATACTGCTCGTCATTATATTACACCCAGCCCTTTTTTTACTTCATGTCACAAGCTTTTTTCTAATAACAGTATTACTTAAATAATTGACTTTTCTTCTTTTCTTATAAATGGAAAAAACTATGCTTGCAAATTACTTCAAATTAAGGAAAATACTACTAACTACTAAATTATTAAGGAAATAAATATATATTTCAAAAGAATTGCATAAGGATTCCAGATTAAAATATTTATCATCTTGCAAATCATAACATATCATAAACCTATTCAAATCAATTTTCTGAAGACAAAAAGAACCAATTCCTTTTATCATATGCTTTCTATGACTTTGTCTTCATTTCCGAAATTTCCAAATTTTGTTTCAGGAGCAATTGTCGGATATTTAATTTTTCCCACTCAAATTACATTTTTGTTACAGTTTTTTTTCTTACTGTTAGCTGCTATAAACGTGTTTCATTTTTCAAATCTCTAGAATTGAAGAAGAGTGGCATAACTACAACTGCAATTGTTGGAGGTGTGCTCGGTGCTGTTTTGATAATTGTCCTTATTGCTGGATTTGTGTATTTTAGAAGGTAAGTGAATTTTTCGAAAAAACCACTTTATTCCCCTAATCAATACATAAAGTTCCAAATAAATGCAATGCATTACAAAGTTTATACATATTCAAAAAGAGGAATTCATATTCCGGAAAATAAATTCATATTCCATAAAGAATTCATATTCCTTATGAATTCATATTCCTTATGAATTCATATTCCAGATTTATAATAGGTATTTAAAAACAGCATGTTTTCAACTTTAAATTGAACGTAAAAGTCAGTTTTCTTGTCTAACTAAAATATTTTTCTTATTCTTTAATATCAACATGTCATCAAGAATCGAATGAGTGTTACATACGGTCATGCGAGTTTAATGAAATTGTTTCATTGATAATTTTGTTTGCATTACGAACTGTCTACATTTCATTCAAAAACAAAATGTGGTTCTGTTTATAGCAAAATTAGAATTTTTTCTTTTAGTTTTGAATATAATTAATTGCATATTAGTTTATTTGAGAACTACTACATAAAAATAAAAGGTGACGATTTTGTCTGTCAACTCACTAAATTTTATTTTTTAGGAATAAGAAGTTTGTCAATAATGATGAAGAATACTCAAAACATAGAGAACGTGCCATTTATGCTGAAAGGGTAATTATTGTTTTTTGTATTTAACTTTAATGATATTATACTCTGATTAAATGTCCAGCCTACTTTTATCTCTAAGTCTTTTCGTATATTTAGGGGGACCGGAAAGTAATGTCGTTTCGGGGCATTTGATAATTGTTATCTAGATTTTATTTTTAATCAATACTGTGTTCACCCTCGTTAGCAACAACCTCTCAATGCTGGATCGAAAATGAATCAAAAGGGATCGAAAAAAAGGAATTGGTTTTGAAGACTAACGAATATTTAATGCACCGAAACAACATCACCTTCCGGTCGCCCTAATACTTGACAGCATCAGGCTCCTTTAAGATTTTATTCAGCTCAGAGTTAAATCTTCTTTTCCATGAGCCGTTTACCTGAGTTCCACTACAGATACTTTATAGTAACCTTCTTCCAAAAATTGGAATCATCTCGTCTATCGATATCAATACCCAGGATTCAAAAGCATAAATCAAAATAGTTCTTAAAAGAGTTTTATGCAAGAGTAATTTAGTTCGTGATTTAATGAAGTTTGATCTCATATTTTTTCAGACTGTGAAAACACGATCAGCATTTATAATTTTTTTATGCATTTCTGTTGTAAGGTCATTGTTATTGTTAAATTCCGCTCCTAAATAGGAGGAGTAATTCACTTTTTTAAACTTGTATTCCTCAATTTTTAAATGATTAATTTAGAGATCTGAATTTTCTACACTTCTATAAGTGCAATTTAATAACAATTCCATTGTTAATTTTCTTGATACTTTCCATCACCTTTCTGCCATGGCAAAAACAAGCTGATATCCTTATTTGGAAACCGCAGAAACTTACTTGTAGCAATAATAAATGCCAGGAACCACCAAAGAGCTTAACTGATTTCTAAAGGAATTAGTTTCCTCCCTGATTAGCATGCTTGGCTACTCCGTTATCACTGCCCTTAATCAGGGGTCTGTTTAGAAGAAATTTAACGTATCCTTCACAAAACAATTTATCTTTTAATCGGACCCTTCACAAATTTGTTTATCTTCATTATTGTTTTGTTAATAGAATAAACCCTACCCAGGAAGGGGGAGGGAAGAGAAAGACAGATGTAAACGAACTAAATTTTGTCTTCGGCAGACGCTTCATTCTTTATTCGCCCGAAATGAATATTCTGCGTTCAGCAGTGTAGGCTAAATACCAAATATTTATGTGTTGCATCGCTAATTTAGTAGCTGCAATTGCTGTTTATTTTTTAAAATTTAATTTTTTTAATTGTAGTTTTACAGTTCTGAGCATAAACTTGTATGTCTTTACAATTTAAAAACTCCTTGAAAAAGTTTTTTTGCAATAACGGACCCTATTTGCACAAATTCACAAAAGTGGACCCTGGTTAAAAGAATGTGACTTAACGTTTATTTTATATTCACAAATTACAAGACAATTTTTTCACAATTTTACAAAAACGGACCTTTCAAAAAATGTCTGGACAGACCCTTGACTTAATATTTAGTTTTAGAACCCTATTAAAAATGTTTAAAAAAAACATATACTCTAGGGAGCGTTAAATAGTATTTAAGTTAGGAGAAATTAGAATTCAAGTAAAAAGTGGTTATTGGAATTATTTTTTAATTTATTTGCATGAATACTAATTGGCTACCGCAAATGCGTTTACTTAATGAATTTCCTTTTTGACAGGATTTTAAAAATATAAATTAAGTGCAATGGTTCTGGAGCCGACCGGCCTGTGTAGGGGGCAGGGAACTGTCCTTGAATCAGAAAGGTCCTGGGTTCGAATCTCGGGCAAGGCATGGGTGTTTCTTTCCCTCTCTCTCTATGTTCTATGTCCTTTCTCCTTTGTGTGTGAACGTGACCCGCCCTATAAACGGGTTGTGGTTGTGCGAATGGCGTGGCAGAAGTCGAAGTCCTGGCCATAGATGGCGCCACTGAAAAACAGGAACAATCGCACCCCTCCACTGCCTAAAACAGGCATACGACAAAAAAAAGGTTCTGGAACACCCAGTGCTAAATATTTGCTCTAATGCATTTCTGTATAATTGTATTCAGTACAATGCATCACAAAAAATCACATAAACACTTAATGGATTATAGAGTCATTATTGTTTTATATACATTTATCTATAGGCTCGACAAGGTATTAGACAACAGCGTGACGGCTCTGGTAACCGCAGCAACCAACATTCCTTAGAGCGAAGAGGAAGTGGCGACTACAGACAGTACCGCAATGGTGAATCTCACATGATACCACGTGTTCAAACTGGGGCAAGCAGACCTCTTCCAGATATGAGCGATGATAATAGAATGCATACTAACAATGATAGGCGACCTCAAAGAGAACATTTTTCCGACGATGATAGGCGCAGTCATCGTCCGAAAGGGGCTGAAGCTGCTACACATCGTTCTCTCAATCGGTCCTCTGATCATTTAGATGATGATGGTAGAAGGGTTAGTGTAGTGCAGTACAAGAACAGAGGATATGAAGAGGATTGAACTATTATTTTGAATTTTTTAACATAAGGACTATAAGAAAATCAGCCTTATTGTTACAATGACATTTTAAAAAAAACGTTTTTCTTTCTACTGATCGTTTACATATATTGTATGAAATTTTAAACGATGTAGTTGGCTTTATTGGTTTTGTTAAAAAGTTATCATTGTTAAATTAAAAATATGCATGCTTTTGTAAATACTTTACTGCTATGTTGTAGCGATTAAATTTTAAACAATGATTATACAAAGATTTATTAATTGATTTCAGTAACAGTTTTATTATTTTAGACAAATAATCTTGAAACTTCATAGATACATTTATATCTTTTTGCAGTTTCATCCAAAACTTAGTTTAGTTTATGTGCCACACTTTTAAACATTCATCGAGAAGTGAGATGGAGTTTTTATAAGAAATTTTGATATAATTAGTAAAGAAATAACTTTTCATTTCAAAACTTTGCATTAAGACTTAGACAAGTTAGGCATATAAACATTTAAAGAATCAGTTGATTTCAGTGATAAAGCTCAAAAATATTTAGTAAAATATTCTATACTACAATAAGAAAATGAGTCTTTCTCATTTTGTTCATCTATCTAAAATATTAAAAATTAAAATAAAATTAATTCCAACATAAATTTTGACTTACGTAATGAAATTAAAAGTGGAAAACCTTTTTTTTAACTCAAAATAATATTGTCTCTATTCACATGCCAGTATTCTACTATTATATAATTAAATTTATATAATTATATTTATTTAATTATATATATATATATAATTACATTTATATAATTATATTTAAATAATTTTGTTAATATCATCCAACTATTCGACTGCTGAAATTTAAAAAATAAAATGTCATTTGATCAGAAAAAATAATAATAATAAATGATAATTAGACACAAATAAAAGAGAAATTATTCTTCCTGAAGTCTTCTGGAATTTATAGTATATTCTTTTAATTATTATATGCCAACAATGAATCGTAATGCATTTCAACATTAAGTAAGAGAAAATTGCACATGTAGTGTCAAATAGTAATAAAAATGGAGAAAATTAAAACCGTTTTCATAGTTTGGCGAATGTTTATCACTGAAAAAAGTCACTTATTTTCTGTTGTGATTTTCTAAAAAATTTACCAGTCAACAAAAACTTGGGTCATACACGCAAGGTTTCGTAAAATTGCTTCTGACTTTTACTGCACAGTAAATAATTACAGTACAGTAACATTACTGAGTCACTGTGAAGAATTCCGGAAACAATTACGGTAAAAAGTAATGGCCTCCTGAATGCAGTAACCTTAAAATTTCATTTTACCGTAACTTTTTATACCATATCTTTTACAGTAACATTGATTTAATTACCATGCAGTGATTTTACACATTAAATATTTTTTATAAAAATAAAGAAGTATCAGATTGTTAGCTCCGTAAAATGGTAAAAAGGTTTACATTAAAAAGTATTGATACCCTGAGTGCCAATACTTTTTACCGTACTTAGGCCCCGAATTTTTTTTACAGTGGAAAAAAAAATCCGAAAATACTAGTAAACACAATTAATATGTTTTACAAGATTTCCCAGTTAATGTATCATTTATTTTTATCATTTAATATAATAAGTTTACTTTATGGAGTAAAAAAACTATTTTATTTGATAATTTTATCGTTGAGTTGTATAGATAATAATTTAACTAATTGTATATAGCAGAGTTTGCCTTTCAGACCGTATCTGTATCTAAAGATCAATAACATTTGTATAAAATGTACTTTTTTGTTTCAATGGTATCTCTCAAGAAGCTGTAGTTTTTATGCATTTTAATAATATATTCCTAACCAGGATTATTTAACTTTCCCTCAAAGGAATACTAAGTGTCTCAACATCCCTGCTACGTAAGAGGTGATAATAAGAAGACAATGATACATTTCAGTTTATAACACAATAGGTTTAAGCCAAATGTCGCGGAGGAAAATAAAAAAAAGCATAGTTTAATGCCTTACACTTGAAGCAATGCGATAAATTTAAACTATATATATAATCTTGCCGTGAAGAATTATCTGGGCTTTAGAACTGACAAATAACTTATATTTCAAAATTTACTAAACTTTTTTAAAAATCGCCAATTTGGCAACATTTTTCAACCTAGTGTAAAACTATCAAAATAACTGCCTTATTCTCAGTTTTTTGCAATTTTTTATTAAGTAATGCAGCATAAGAGAATGATTTCAAATATTACAAAATTAGACAGAAAACGCTTTTTATTTTCACAAACCTCTGGATATTGCATTTTTGCGCCATTTTCAACCTTTTTCAGGGCTGGATTTAGATTGGCTAAACTTGACCTAACAGCCATGAATAGCAGTTGAAAACTCACTGCAGCTATGCTGTTGCTTATCCTCTTCTGGCCTGATGAAGTCAGACCAGATCTATGAACCCGTTGACCTGAATGAAATCAAACACCAAAAGAGGAGTAGAGTAAATGTCTTCCCAGAGAAGACAGTTCAGGATGTGATCGGCGGAAGCCCGGTGTAGATGGCATTTAGGGCAGAGGTTTTAGTTCCCTCAGAAAATAGTAAACCTTTAAGATGGCCGGTAGCTAGGCGGGAGATGGTGGTGCAGACTCTCCTTTCAAAGAGAAGGGTTGGAGGGATTTTAGGCGTGTGTTGCAATGAATTGAGCAGAGGACTGTATCATTCAAACAATAATTTTATTTTGATATAAGAAACAGCAAATAGTCCTTGTCGGACTGGAGAGGAGCGGTTGACCCGCGTGATTCTCTATGTAGAGAGAGAACGAGAATGGTTATTTTTCGTGGCGCGTGATGAACGCCACTTACACCCACTCATGATCCTTTAGAAGATCATGCGTGGGTGTTAACTTTATTTCTTAGAATTAAACATATCTTATTAAGCGTTAACAAGGGTCAAAGAAGCTCCAGACTTATTTCCCTTGTTCCAATGGTGGGTGGGGGGAATCAACCTGTCTCTGAGAAGCTGGAATTTCTTCAGGGAGTTAGGAGCGGCTTGGGAGTCTGAGGAGATAAGACAGTCTTCTACCTCCGTGTGCTCCAGTCTTCGGACAAACAGAAGCTACAAATTACCTTACCATGAACCAGTTTACTGCAGCCAAATGCCGATCTGGCTGAGTAGTGGTTAGGGCGCGGACCTCACATCAAAAAGGTCTTTTGTTCGAATCCCGAACAAGGCACGGATATTCTTTCATTCTCTGTACTATCGGTCCTTACTGTGGCAGCAACGTTAGCCCATCTAATATGATGCCCCTGAAGAAGTGGCTAACAAATCTGCCCTGTCGATACCTAAATGACGAAAGTCAATCGGGTGGGCATTGGAAAAAAAATAAAAATAGCATACTATTCGCAAAAAAGCATCCTTCATATTACGATGGAGCCTTCGAAAAAGAGCTTTAAATGTTATTTTCAAAGGAACAAGCGAAGTGTATATGCCTGCATAGAAACTTAAAAATAATTTATGAACTTGTACATTCAGTCAAAAAATATGAAATAAACAAAAAACTATCCTGAAAATTAAACTAGCTTTCAGAACTAATTTCAGATTTGAAAACCCACACACGAATTCGGTAAGACCTGGTACCAGTGTAAATGTAACAAAAAATTTGTTCGGCAGTGTTACTTGGGCTTCAGAATGGTTGAATAGCTTTAGTATTTTAAACATTACTAAGCTGTGTTAAAAAACGTCAATTTGGGGAGATTTTCTACCTGAATTTTATCCTGGTAGTGATTTGATTTGAGATATTTACACTAAACACCCAAATTCGAATTAAACTTTTCAATTTCGTAAGTAGAAAAAGTATGAGAAAAAATACTAATTCTTATAATTCTCAACCATTATGGCCTAAAATTATGAAAAAAATATCTTTCATTCTTTCATACAGGTGTTAGTGTTCTATATCTTTACAGTTGCATCCTTTATTTTTAACAAGTTCATTTTCTAGACATTGATCTATGGTGGGTTCCTATACATTTCAGGAAACTAAAGTTAAACTTATAGAATAAACATTACATAATTTATATCGTAAAAAGAATTCGAATAAAGAAATAAATTTTAAAAAGAATTAAAATTTCTATGTACAAAAAATATTTGAAACAATTTGCAATCTGCAATGCTTTATTTTTTTCAGCACAGAACACAATATTGAAATGATTTTCTTAAATAACAGATAATTTTTAACCTCATCTTTTAATAGCTTTGTTTAGGTCACCATTAGGTAGTTTAATAAAGAAAAATACTCTACTTTCTTTATAAGCATTGTTTTGTTTGTATACACTAAGGCAAATACTTTTTGTTATACTTCTGACATCTATGTAACTCCATTTTAATTTCATGAAGTATTATTTAGAAAATTAAGTACACTGTTATGTTAAGAGCTAGTAATGTAAAGTATATATTGGGTAAACTATATTTGAGAGTGCCCCTTGATTCTCGCCAAGTTATGATCGCGATTGATCGCCAAGCTGGGCAATGTTGAAAACCAATCGTGATTCTGATTGGTTTAGATTTTAGCACTATTTTAAAATGTTCAACGGTATACGTAATTTTAGAGGTCCGTTAGTTCTGCATTGGATACCGGCTGGTAAGGTTACTTTTGTTTCTGGTCAATAAGATTGAAGGTATGTGGGCAGTCATAAAAAGGGATTTTATTCACCATTTAAAATAAACTTTTTTTCTGAAAAAAACAACAACATGCGATCCCTTTCATAGATTAGAAAGGCTTATTATTATATTAAATTCTAAAGAAGAATTGTTTGCGTGATTTAAAGGAAATTGTTTTATATAGTTCCTGTAATTGTAGCTATCATTTAGCAGCAAGCAAGAAAGAAAAAATTATAAATTTATGTGCACTATAAATATAATTTGATACAAGAAGGGAAAAATATGCTAAAATCTATAGCAATCTTAAGTTTGCTGGATAATTTCTTAGTTTTCACATTAAAAAAAATTCAAACGTTAACTAGGTAGAGGAGATGCATTTCTTACGTTTTTAAACTCGTTAATAGTTGGAGAGTAGTAGGATGTACAGAATGAGACGCAGCGATTTACCATTTTAAAGATTTCACTCTATAGGTAGCTCTTGCCTTTAAAAATCTACATTTTTTAAAAAATTTTGTGAATATTCAAGGAAATAATGCTGTCTAACTAATGTAAACATTTACAAGGGAACTAGCGCCCTCTACGGGAAAGAAATAAACTTTCGAGTTGAGATGTA